TAATTGCAAACTGCATGCACACTTCTGAGTCAGACGCTATCCCGAATTTTGAGGCAACTAACAATGAAATATACTGCCTCTGCGTAAAGTGCTTCATATGATTTTAGGTCCAAGCGACTTAAAGAGGAGCCGCATTCATAGCATATGGGTTTCTGTTACCCTGGCCTTTGAAATCAAACATAACTTTCTCCACTACTAAAACTTAATAAATTTAAGCAGTACTATCTCGTCAATTGCGCGTTTGCACGTACTCGTGGAGCCCTTTTAAGGCAGTATATCTACGTTGGCCTAAAATTTCGGTTTTTGATAGGTGCATGTACAAATCAGCGACTTTCTTTTCGTTTGTTAATACTTTTAAGTTCCGACCCGAACTTAAAAAAAACGACCCCGATTTTACGCTAGCCTACCACATCTTAATAAATCTGATAAGCCTTCCGTCTATCACAGTGTACTGACAGAACCGATTGTTACGTGGGGTGATAACTTGGCCCCTTCATGGAAGAATTCATATGAAACGAACTTTTGTGGTGACTCTAAATTCTCCCATGTACGTGAACTCTTGCTGTAGATCTAGCCGGTATGGGGCACGCCTCCGGGGTGGGGAAGGTTGTGTCATGCTGCATCAGACGCAATTCATGTCCAGCGCCGGTCGTTGGGTCCTTACTTAGTCTCTGGAACCCGGCGGGGTTTTGGGAGCGGGACGGTAAATTTTAAGCCGCGCACCCATCTTCCTATAATCCAAACAATACACAAGTCTCTATCTCGCCGCAGACATTTGCTAGCCGCAGAAATTTCCGCAGAACGACCTTGGCCTAAAATAGAGTCATAAGGAAGAAAATACTTCACTAAACACTTGGTGCTGGTCATATGCAAAAGTATGCCTTGACAACTTTATCCTTCTTAGAAACGTACTTGTCGAAAATAGTCAACCAACTTTTCAGCCGACGTCTTTAATTATTTATGTTAATTGTAGATCCTTTTGCTTTTTCAGATATCCTATTCCATCTGTCAGTTCTAGTTAGTCCAGGCAGCATACGCATTAGAGTTTAGAAATCTACTTCGATGGCATGACGATATCTTTCAGGATCTCTTTAACGAACTTTCACCAGAGTTAATGACTCCTTGGAAGTATAAAGCATGCAGAATATCTTCAGTGAAATGGATGGTTCATTTGATTGTGCGTCCTGAACTACCGGAATGTCGGGTTTTATGAGTCATTGGAGCCAACTCAGGATGCAGAAGAGGTAAAATTGTCTCCGAAGCTCTGCACAGCCACTTAGGAAAGGAGCAATGCTTCGGTGCTCAGACCTTTCCTATAGAGCCAGCAGCACACCGAGATACTATTTAGGTTCGGCCATATAAGGCAAACATCTTCAGCGTCATCTTGTCTGTCGACTACAAAATATTAAACATGGTGTCATGGCAGTCAATCGTTGGTTTTCCATAATTCACGGTTGAACGCCTAAATCCAGTTTTTTAAATGATCGGCCGGAAAAATATTCTACTACCCCAAGCCATTTTTGCATTGATACAAAAACTGTACAGAATACCATGCGTGTTAGCATTAAAACTATTTCGTGGTCGTCACCTTATTGGATGACGCACCTTCCTTCGCAGATGCTAAAATTAAACCGATATTGAAGGTAATATTGTCTTAAGTATTTGAGTCATATACGAATGCCAAGAACTTTCGTAACTTATTCTTTAATTAAGCGTACCTCTGATGCACATTTAAAAGACTCTCTATCTCATCAAATGTCAACCAAAATTCAGAAATGTGTTTCCGATTGGTAAAAAAGCTCCAAGACTCAAAGGTGTATGCGTTTTTTCCTAAAAAAATCACGAATTCCTCTGCAGTATGAGGAAGGAATCACATAGTCCTCATATGATGTGTCAATTGCTTTCGAGCATATTGTATGCTTGAAAGTCGACGTTAATGGATTGATGGATGTGATATATCCTGAAAAACAGTCATAAAAAGTGTCATACCTACAAACCTTTGTAAAATCAAAAGGTACCCCGTTTTGGATATCACGTTTAATGAAGGCACTAGTTTCTTTTCACCTACGTAGGTAGCCATCTATTACAGATAATGCCTCTTGTGGGCGACCAGAATGGAGCTCGTTCAAAATCCAGCATCCTGTTGTGGATGAAATAATTGGAGATAAGGTTGCATGATAATCAATCTTACAACCCAACTTAATTAATTTTTTTCCGATCAAAACATTTTAAAATTTGGTTGACGTTTCACGAGATAGGGAAACTGTCTTTAAAATGCTCTGTCGGTGGGTTGTCAGAGCTAATCGTGCATTTGTTTATCACAAATTATAATCTTATTGGTTTTCTTACCTATTCGACTAACATTGCACTCCTTAAACCCAGGATTACTATTATTTTTCATCTTCAGATATCTGCCTTACCACACCCAAATCAAGCTCGCGTAAACGATTACAACACCCTGGGTGACTACTTTCCAGAGGAAGTCTTTTACATGGAACAAAAACAGACCCCGGCGTCTCAGCATAAAAAGCAGACTTTACGCGAAGGTACCTACGAGATTTCACCCCCCTTCAATGAAGTCAACAATAATAACAACGGCTACAACGCTAACTTTCTCATGACCAATGAGATTGGTTCTATACCAGCTCACTACCTGACCTCCATGCCAACCTTTCCGAACAATAGTAGTACTATGAATGTTTCATCCAAACAGCTCTATATGTCTAGCCCGAGAACGCCCCTCCTCGTAGCCACTCTGCGTGCACCACCATCAGACTTTTCTGAGTCGCATTTGACCGCGACGAAGCTGGACATGGACAATCGGTCACAGCCAGCGATGCACAAGGCGTCCACAAATCGAATTCTCACCCTGAACCAGTACGGAGGTGAGGAGATGCGGTCCACCGCAAACCCTACCTTCTACGTCGCTACAGAGGCCTATCAAACTTTAGACCCCCTGACCCTCCCCAAGGGCCCTCCACCTCACCGCGATAGTGCTACTGGGGGCAAGCGATACAGGACTGACTCCTGCGACCCCAAAGTTACCTTTAACCTAGAGGTCC